TATAGCCTTACCATCGGTGCAGTGTGATTTGGGTGTTCGTGGAGACTGCTGGCCCCGCGACCACGGATAAGCGGATGAAAATGGATGGATTCTGAAAATCTTAATTTAGCACGTATTTTTTGCTGAAAAAATACATGATGGAATTTTTTGATAATTTGTTTCAAAGTTTAATGATTATTTTTTAGCAAAATCCTAATTTAGCATATTTTTTCTTCAGATGTTGAAGAACTATGATGACTTTTTTGACAAAAATGTTTTCAAAATTTTGTATGTAGAAATGTTTTAGAATAAAAGCACACGCACAGATGCACCTATATACACAGTGAAAGACGTAATGCAAACTGCGGGGTCCTGGGCAGTTTGGGACCCGGGGCATGTAATGTAATCATGTAATCTATCTATCTATCAAAATTACATTATATTTTAAATATTGAAAAAATATTTAAGTCGTTATATATAGATTTATTAATTGTGTTTGGAGTGATTTTGTACCATGTCTGCATGAAGTTGGATAATGGATTCTGCTACTACTAAAAATAATCGATAACACATCATTAGCAACCGCATCATGATGTTTTTCCTGTTTTTGTGTTTTCTTTTGAGAGAGCAGATATTTTACGACAGCAGCCATTAACAAAAAACCCACACACAAAGGTAGGAAATATCTCCAGAATAGGAAATGAGAATGAAGTGATTCTGTCATCTCCACTTTTCTCGGAACTCATTCATCTGCTGTCGGAGAGACAGAGAGGAGCATCAGGTGTGGTTTTCCCTTTTGATGCTTGCAACCTGAGTCCTCCCCCCTCCTCATCTGTGAGCCTCCATCCCACTGTAAACCACCAGTCCATTATTCATTCAACGCTTCCTCCCGCAGGCTTGGCGTTCTTTCCTCTTTCCTCCGTGTCCTTTCTTTGTAGGTCAGGAACACACAATATGAAGAGAGGAGAGGTAAACAAGTGCACATAAATAAACAAAAGACAAAGTCCTCTGTCAAATTATTCATTAACTAAGTTTAGCATGCGACACAATGGAAAAGAAAAAAAATACATTCTCACATTTCCATCACTGTCTAAAGAAAATGACTGCAAATATAGTCTCCATATTTGTTTAAACTAAAGAATCCACTCTCTCTTAATTGCAGTGGGATATTTGGGTGAAGTGTTTAAGTATTTCAAGTATTTCCTTCTTCATCTTCTCCTTTACTTCCTTTTCATTTTGTTCTTCTACTTTTGTTCTTCTTTTCTTCCATGTCTTCTTCCTCTTTTTCTTGATAGTCTTGTCTTCACCACTTACTCACTGTCTCCTCCTTTGTCTAATAACTACCACCAGTAAGTTCACCACTAGATGTTGCTCATTTCCTCTCACTGTTGTTTAAAAACATCAAAGACAATTGAAATAAAAGCATTAAATGCCCTGACCTTCTCTTAACACATTTGCACAGAAGTCCAAGTGGAGACATTTCCCATTGGAGTCACAGATCTGTGAAGCAGGACATGGGGGCTGTGGACCTTTTTTGTTTTTCCTAATGAAATGCCAGGTCCAGTTAGCTGATGTATGCAGAGGGAGAAGAGGCAACAGCACTGAGGGCATTTCCCAGAATCCTCTCCTCCTCTCCCTCTCCTTCTCTCTAGCTCACCCTCTCTTCATCTCTCCATAATAGAGTCCAAGAGCTGCAGCCTCCAGCTGTGTCACCATGGTAACCAACAGAGGTAAATGTTTGCAGGAGAATCCTCATCACGTCCGTCATCCTCACAGGCCTCTTTTCAGTGATGCACATTAATGTGCTCTGTTTAGGTCTCCCTCACATAAAAATTCATAGCGCAGAAGTTTCTGCTCAGAATCAAAAAATTCCTCCATGAGTTGCTCTGCGTTGTTTTAAAAAAAAGTCTGTCCAGCACTGCACGCCCCGAAGGTGAAATGATGCTTCTATCTTCCCATTCTCTGACTTCTCATTTCTTTACAGGAAAGTGTGTCATCATAAAAACACCTCTCCAACAGAAATTAATCATCAGCCTGAGAGCCTGAACGCCAGCCTCCGTACCACAGTCAGAACGAGCAGGAGACCTTGACACTGGGAAAATAAATAAATAAGACATAATAAAACACCAGGACAGGAAAATGCTCTGCTGAATAGTGATTACATGGCCTTTCTTTCCTCCTTTTTTTTAATGATCTTCTAATTAGGCTTCACACTATGCCACAGGCCGGATCTTCCCTGTAATGCTCTGACATCTTTGGAGGAAAAATACTGTATCTAATCACAGGCTGCATACCTGGTATGCAAGTCTGTGTTTTGGGGGGGAGGGGTGTCTTGTTTATTCACTTCCTATGAGCAGTGTTCTCATTTACATTCCTGCAGCGACAAACAACACAGAGAAATTAACATACTCTTTAGTATTTGCAGGAGTCGCTCTTATTTGCTGCTCTTCAAAGTGAGTGGAAAAGACTCAGTGAAGTACTTTTTTATGAATGTGCTCTGTCTTCTTTTTTCACAATTTCAAAGGACTTCACTACAATGGTGCTGTTGTCCTCTACCCAGAGGTTGGTGGAGACTCAGTAACTAACACACCAACCCCCAGGTATAAGGCAAAAACCTGTAGTGTCAAGCAGTGTTTCCCCAGCTTTTTTTAGGCACATATTATCCCCTAGTTTCAATTTACCTGCTCACTGTGACACCTGGTCCTGTTTAGTTGAACACAACACAGGTACACTTGCAGGAATTGAAGAAAGACAAAGATCTTTGATAACAAGACGTTTTCAGAACAATCAAGTCTAATTTTAAACAGAACCTGAAAATTCCCTTGCTCCCCAGGGATGGTGTAAAGGCAGAGAAAATAATTTGTACATTTGTCTGTATAAGACCAAGAAAGCTGACTATATAACAGCAAACAGAAATGCAATTAAGTGTATTTTTTTAATTTTACCAAACATTGATATACATTTACACATATGATCTGTGACTTTTGAAAATCCATTATAATTCAGCAACAAGGTCACACTCTCCTCCATCACTTTAAATTCAGAATTTTCTGAAAAAATAACGCAGGGTTTCTTCTTTAGATTTTTTTTTTTCTGTTTAAGCAACATCAGGGCTAAACATAGGAAACTATTGTCCAACGTCTCTGCATTCTGCCCACTGCCAACTAAATCTTCAGGGAGTGAAAGAGTAAATAAATGTACTTTGTGTGAAAGGTTTTAATAGAAAAATATAAATGGATTTGAACTTTATACCAAAGGTAACATAACAGTTCAGGCTCCTAGTGCTTCTAGTTGTGGCTGAATAAATGTGTAGATATAGGTGTACGTCGAGAAATATGCATAAGTTATAAGAGCTAAGCTAACATAATAATTTGTTAATATTTCATAACTACACAGTAGTTGGAAATGATGATGATAATATATATATTTTAAAACTTCTAGCTCTCTCTGAATGACTACAGACAACAACGATGATGGGATTTTATCATCATGTCTGAAGGGAAAAATACTTAATATAATAAATAAATAATATAAAGAATTATTTATTTTTATGGGAGCTTATTTGCTTAATCTTTTTTAATAGTATTATCCTTTCACTTATGGGAATTTAATTCTGCACAAACAACATGTCAGAAACACATACTGATGAAAGCACATTGTGTCAAGACCAGCGAAGTGATACATCTTGTAATTTCTTCAGGGAAAAATGTTTTATACGATTTTAGAGCTGTTTTTGATGTTGATGTTAAAATACTGCAACATGACATGGTCAGGAGGAAGCATACGGTGAGTTGAAACCAGATGAAAAAGGTATTAAGTAAAACAAAAAACATTGCAATGTCACAGTTAGGTTAAGGAAATAATTAATGTGCCTCACACAGGTGTCTGCAACCTGGGGCTCATGTGCCCCATATGGTACTTCAGCCTCTTTTCAATGGCTCCCTGCAGCAGGCGAAATTGAATATCTGACTAATGTCATAAGAAGATCAAAGTTAAACCAGTTTCACCATCAATTTTCAGCTTGCATGCTAACAGAAAAAGAACATAGTTGTTCTTTCTCCTTCAGACCCCATTTATTTGCACCTAGAGTAAAAGACTGAGATTCTTTTTGCCTAACATTTCGATTGCACGGAATTCTCCATGTCTCATGTAAACGAAGGAAGAAATACATTTCTTAATTTAAATAACAGTAAGTTAATTTCAATAACACCCAGATAGCTCGGTTGTCTAGTTTCTAACCTCAAATTACTTAACATATTAAATGTGCCACATTTGTATTATGGGAGCTTTTCAAGATAAGGAATCATTTTTACCAGACACCTGACACTTTCACATTAAATTTATTCTGAGTTACCATGGGGATATATTTTCTCCTTTGAAATAAAACAACTTCCTTCAGGAGAATGTGTTAGATTTAAATTTAACACCTTCTGGAAAAGAAAGTTTTATCAAAAAAAGACTAAAGTTCTTATGTTTTCTATGGAGACAGTTTTGAAACAATGCAGATTAGAGGATGCCTTTATAAAATGAAATGCCAAGTGGGAAATTTATATTTTAAGGGGCAATGTTTTAAATTTTCCCAATTCTCTTCTGCAAGCCTCCGAACTTGTCTAGATGGAACTATTGTTTAACTCCTCCAACCTCACACATTCACAGTGGTCGCTCCAAAACTCTTATTTAAATCTCTCACTGACAAAAAACAAAATTACATCACAAATCAGTGCAATTCCTCATCTGTGAGACAAATTAAAAAAATAATAATAAAATCTGAAAAAAAAAAAAAACCTGTCCCCAATACAATACGCTAATGTCCTACCACGGGGGAGTGTCTCGCCTTTTGGAAAAAAAAGAAAACAGGTTGATAGCATTTTTAAAGCTCAATAAGCTCAAGACTAAAAGTTTTAATAGTATACAGACTTGGTAACGTTCTGGTTCCTGTATAAACATCGCTACAATTTGTATCAAATCTTCCTTCTGTCTCCATGACAATAAGTCAAGTCAACATAATGGTCTAAGAGATTTGCCAAAATTAGGAATCACTATTTATTTAAATGTGTATTGTTTGACAAAGTTCTACACAAATTCTATATTAATACTGTAGTTGCCGTAAATTGAAAGATTAAGTGATAGTAGTTTTTTTTCTATACAGTTTACTGTTAATTATCTAATATATGAATATACAGAATATCTGTTTGCTTGACTAGGCTGTTCTATTGTACATTCATTTGTAATCATATATTTTTGAATATACTTAAGAATTATGACCAGACTGAAACCTGACCAGGGGATCGAGGTGCCAAAATATTGCAGATAAATTCTATATGTTTTTAAAACACATTCTTTTTAATAGCCAACAGAATGAGATTTGAATATATTAAAAAAAACATTTAAAATAAAGTCATTTTTGCAAAGAGACAGATTCTATAATTGTAGGAAAATGTTAATTAAAATAATGTTCAATGGATTTGCATTTGCAGCTGTATAAGATTAGCAGCGCTACAAATCATAGGATCCACCAATCACGCTAACCCAACAATGATGCTAAATTGCAAAATTCAATTTGAAAACAATCCTGTACATGTTTAGATTTTGTCTTCTTTATGCAAAACAGTTTTAGTATTGTGTTTATAAATCATGGTCTCGATATTTCGACATCGAACGCCCACATTCTGTTGGTATGCATTGTTTTGGCACATTTCAAACCCAGTGCAGTGAATCATCCACTAAACATCCCATTGTCTGATTCTTGTTTTGGATGGCTGAAACTGTTGACTAGCTTTACATGTGGTGAAGCCACAGTTTGTGAATCTGTTCGACATTCGACACAGCAAATGGCAGGGTATGTGGACATGTCATGTTACATGCAGTAAAAGACAGAGGTCGATGATGGAGTCAAACCTTCCCCTGCGTTTCAACATCACATTTCAGGGTTTTGATGCCACCGGTTGACATGTGTTTTTTACTGGCTTAAGACTGCAAAATGTACTGCAATGACTGCAGTTAACTCTACTTCAACTGTGTAGGCTTGTTGTACTTAGCCAGTGGCCAAAAAAAGATCCACCAGCTCTTCCTCACTCTTTCTTTTCTTCACCTTTTTTCTTATCACTTCTCACACTGTTCTGACCTCATCAGGACTTTGGCTTAATTATTAAAAATGTCCTAATTTTCCATATTCCATAAATCTACGTACAATTACAACAACTGTGCCGGGGCAGTGCTCATCACCAGAGGTGGCGTGACATGTTCCGTCATTGTGAGTTAAAATACCTTCGATAAATAAATAAATGACTGAATCCTTTTGTCACTCCTCACTCTCCTCCTCGTCTCCTTTTGTGCCTTTACTCCAGCGCTGGAAGCAGTGGACGGTGGAAGCAAGGAAGAAGCTGGTCATGATGGCCACCACAGACACCGAGATGCCAGAGAAAATGATGATGAGCAGGTCCGTTAGAGTCAAGGTTGTCTGACACTCACGGAAGCTGTCCTTAGAGAGCTGGGTCAGCGACACGTGCCGGCCGTCCAAAGGGAGTGAACACTCCATGCCTGCTACACCTGCAGAAAACACAATTAGAAAAATTTACAAAAATAAAAATACATCATGTTCATGAAATTTAGAGGTGGGATTTACATTTATAGAAGAACAACCACTGCAGAAAATAGAAGTGTTAGAACTGCCAGTATCACTAAGTTTTCTACAAGACAAAAAAATAATGCTTGGACATGTTGACATGCTAGTGAGCGTAAATGCTGGTGTACAGTCCAGTCATATAAAAACATCTTCAATCCATCCATTTTCATTCGCTGATCCGTTACCGGGTCACAGGGGCAGCAGTCTCCATAACTGCCACACAAATCACACTGCACCGTACCAACCTGAACCTTCCTGTGAGTAGTGAGTCCACTGGAAGGTACCAGCTGCCCTAACCGGGATTTAATCTTGCCCAGGAGGTGAACCCTGGGGTTCCACACCAACGACAGAGACATTGCCTCTGGGCCAAAGCACCACTATAAAAACATCTTCCATAACAATACTGTTTACTTCAGCATCAAGGAGCACCTACCCAAAATGCTGTATTAAAACTTTGGAAATCCCCCTTTCAACATTCCTCCTCTCCACCTCCTCACTCCATGACCAGTTGCTCTACTCCTTGATACATGGGGGAGTATGAAAAAACTAATGTCTTACAGTTTTAATCTAATTCTGTAATGTCTTGTATTGGGCAGTGTTTCTTTTCTAACAGTATGTTCTGATTTATTTAGTGTACACTTGATCAGAAGGCTTTACTCTAAGCTGCACAAGAACTGTACTGTACGCCTACACACAGGGTGATATGAGTTCAAGTCAAAATAATAGGAAACAAAGGACCACAGAGACAGTGTTGAAGGTCTATTATGATTTCTATTACATTAAATCAACCATATGCTGTGGTTTAAAAGGTCAAAGACCCTCTGGTGGAGAGAAGAAGCAGTGACCTGTTATATACATAACGGCTGTCAATATGAATGTGTTAAGTGTGGTAATGCACTCGTAAAAATTTATCAAAATGTTAAACTATTTTTATGCCATCCACTTTGCTCTCATACACAGTCAATACAGATGTTATACAGATGTTATTTACACACACTGTGGGGAAAAAAACAACAACTCAAGTTTATGAAAAACATCACAACTCCCAGCATGCCTTTTTTCTGAGGTTTCAACTTTGGGTCTGACACACGGCTTGCGTCAGTCCAGCAACAAGACTTGTGAGTGAGTCTACAACTGACAGGTCGACTGACAGACTAACTTTAAAGAAGCTCTCAACAGGTTCTACAAGCAACTGTCAAAACATCAACTCTACTCAAGATTCAGATGCAAGATGTTTATTGTCATATACACTGTTAGAATGCAGCCACCCTCCTTAACAGCCAACACACACTGCACAATAAAAATCACAATAGTGGAGGAAAATGCAGTAAAAATTGTGAGAAATTTGCTAAAAATAATATTTATCTTTTCTGGACCCCCCAGTGGTTTGTCAGCGTTAGTGGCACTGACCCTATGTTGAAGACAGCTATTGCTTGCTGATCTGCTCATTGTTATGCTCCATACGTAACATTTAATTGAATTTCGTCTGTCCTGCTTTAGCTGCCAGCTAAAAGCTCTTATACATCAACAAATAAGACTCCATTAAAAATCAAACCTTTACTTAAGTTTCCGTACAGGCCACGTCTGTGACGGGGCACCTTGACAAAAGCCATCTCTAGATGAAAGCAGGATAAATCACTGTGTCTCTCTGGGTCTGTAAAATTCTCCTTGTTTATTTTCTGGACATAAATGAAAGGGACAGTGACATCATCTTATTAGATTTCTAATGTAGTCCTTCAGTGAGACCTTTCTCTTCAGCTCACTGTTAGAGTGACACACTAAGGTCAGTTTTAACATTCATGTGATAACATCTGGTCCCTCGACAGCACATGTATCACTGACAGCTTTATAAAAGTTTGACTTTAATTTGATACAAGTGCTTATTATCGTCTCTGATTGCTGTGTCCAAGTCGTAAAATATACATGGAGTTTACTTTTGTACTGCTTACACAGTAAGTTAGAAATGTACTTCAGGGAGGAAAAAAAAACCCAAGACATATGGAGGAGAATGAGCCTACAGGTGGGAGGAAATATAAAAAGTACTGCAGCGTCGGTGGATACTTTCTACTGATGCTGCACATGCACATGCAAAATCTTGGCTGTGCATCAGTTTTGGACTCAATGCTCAGCACAATTTAGAGTTTACTTTATTTTGCTTTTCTCAAGGCTGATAATATACATGTACACTTTCAGAGACCTCAATTCTTCTGCACATTTTGCCATTCACTTAAGTAAGAAACCTATTAAGGACAAGAAGATATCAAAGCTTAGATTATATACTTAAATCAAATATGTTTGTATGATGATGTAATACAACAAATAAAACTAACACCAGTTTGTAAGTCATCATCAGTGACAGTTGAAACAACAGTGAAAGAAGGTGATGATGTAGAACTGGTTTCCATCTTTCTTTGATTGACTCTTTACAGTTTTCATAAGTTCTGTAACTGAGCTCCAACTTGAAAACTGAACTCTGAATGTAAAACTGAATGGAACTAATCCAGTATTACATTTCCAGTAAGAGAGGTACTATTTCTCACACGTGGTGGTTATGTCCATCACCACAGCATGTCTGTGTCAAGCACAAAATCAGCTCCAAGGTCATGCACATTCAGCAGCTGGTTAAACACCTCATCTTCTCCAACCCTTAAAAAGTAAAGACATTTTAGTTTTGTCTTTTGCAAAACAGACACCAGCGGATACAATTTGAGCAAAAAATGTAATAAAATTAATAATAATAATAACGCAAGACAAAGCTAATTTCAGTGAATAATGTTGCAAGAAATATTTAAAAAATGGACAAGGGATTAGTGGAACAGTACTATGGATTTTAATTACTAAAGCATGTTATGATCCATCTCTCAGCTGTTTTATAACCTTCACAAATGATCAATTTAAAACCTTCCTAAGATGAAAACCTGTTAAAATTACAGAAGCCTCGCAACAGATTTTCATCCAGTTCTATCTGGACTTTAATTTAAAAAAAAAAAAAAAAAAAAAAAACTGGAAGAACATTGAATTGTTGTTTGTTTCATCCTTAGGGAAGGAAAAGAGGCAGGTCATGACCTGGTGTAAAGACATCTGCCAGTAATTCTACAAAGAAATAGTTATCTGATGGAAAAGGCACTGCAGAAGTCTTCAAAAGTCTCAAAAGAAAACAGAAATATCAGTTTCCTTTCTATCATTGGGTCAAGATTATAGTCTGTAGATCACAATGTCTGGAGTGTGGCCAGCATAGGTTTACTCTGCAGTAACATAACAAATAATGACCCTTACACTATCAGGTACGTCTGCCCAAACAGCTATGTTACAATCCTGGCTCAGACAGTTGATGGATTACATTCAGGATTACAGCCAGCTGAGGGGACAGGCTGACTGCTGTCTCAGCTGTGATTGATCTTAACTCCAGGTGCCATAGACTAGTATTAGATGCTTTTTTACTCCCTTCAACCACTGTCCTTCCAGATTGATCTCTGCACCAATAGAAACTTAAAAGATCACTACAATATTGCATTTCCAAGCTCCTGCAGGAGTCAGCAGAAATGCTGATGTCCTCTGTGGCTCCCAGAGCAGTGGTGTCTAGACAGGCCTTGTAATCATTCACATTTGGATAATGAATAAAGAAACTGTCCTTTTTTTCAACATTAACAAAACAATGTAACAGAAATCATTGTTGACACTTAAAAGCAATCATGAAAAGTACAAGATGGGAGAGACCTGTCGGTCATTCCTTTTGAGTAGCCATTGGTATAACCAAATTACTGGTGAATAGAACCAAAAGACCTTTTACTGTCAAAATTAACAAAATAAGTTCAGTAAACTTGAACTTAACACCATCTCAAAACCCAGCAAGTCTTTATAGAAGCTTCAACTTTAGGCCGACATCCATCTAGCATCAGATAACAGGAGAGTCAGTAAGTCTAAGACTGATAAAAAAATGAAAAGCTCACTGATAAAAAATGAATTGTGAACCAACGTAGACTGATTAATATCACTTAAGTTTGGAAAAAAACTCTAAACACCTTCAAGATGTAATAACTAAGATAAACCAAAAATCTATTACTTTTAGATATTTTTCTAACACTTTCTCATATTGATAATTCCATCATTTGGATCCAGTCACAACTTAAATATATCCCATCATGCAAAGCACATGGGATATATTGCTTCGGTAGTGACCATCTAACGTACACTTGATTTTGCAGTGAATTGCTGGATACATTGAGTGCCCTTCATAGTGGACTATTTCCTTGAATAAATAAGTTTAAACAAGCAGAATTATGCCAAGTCCAATGTTAAAAGCACTATTTGTTTTTTTCATTTGTCACAATCAATTCTAATAAAATATCAAAATGTGCAGGTCTGAGCAATTTGTTTTTCACACACTTACACAGGGTTGAACTATCCTCCAAGCACTAGCACAGTATTTGCTGTGTGTGTAACCCAAAGTTTTTGCCTTTTCACCTTTCATTTTTCACACTTGCAGAATATACTTCACTGGTTCTGGACGTGCAGCAGCTGATGGTGTCAGACTGTATAATTCTGTCCTTCTTTTTCACACTCTGCTAGCACTATTTCAATCACATTGAAGACTTTAAATAAACATCGAATTAGGCCAAGATAAAAGGAGCTGCCAGCCTGTGTTAATAGAACAGATATTTTCTCATCACCTACAAATGAGCAGTGAAGATAGGAGTTGATGTCATGCAGGCCACTGATGTGTTGGTCCGCTGGTCAGTGGAATTGTGTTTTAAGGCCTGATTGTGCAGTACGCTAACAGTTTCCCTGGGAGCAACTTGATAGCCTTCGAGGGAAAAGTCAGACTTTGGTTCCGTCACATGAACTGCCTCTCTGTAGTGAAACTGCTCTGGTCATATCTAATACTGACAGCACTGCCATCCTGAGTCCTGGCTTAAACCTCTTGTGGGAGTTGGTCTGCCCTGCCCTGCCCTTTAGGCAACTGTGGCTTCAGTTACTCCAGCCAATGTGCTGCAGACCTGTGTCACTCTGAATTATACATGGCCTTTGTTCGTTCTTAACCCAAGAGCATTAGAGACAGGAGTGGATCGTGTTTACACTCATCCCTGGATTAAAACTTTAATGAGTCTGATTGGTGACAAAAAGAAAATATTGGTACTGAAAACCAAATACATGCTAACAAAATAATTAAAATAATAATAAAGCTATCAAGAGACAAAGGCACACTATAACATAAACACACTATATAATATATACCACTAATATCATATTAAAAGTGTTGCATCTAAGAGCTGAAAACTTAAATGTCTTAAAGGCTAAGAATAATTGCATGGATTTCAATTTATATAATATATAAAAAAAGAAAATATTTGTTACATTAATAAAGTCAAAGATTTAATATACTCAGAGACTTAAATTTGCCTTTTTTGACATATTTACATATTAATTATTCAGTCGTTTTTGAGTAGTCACAATAAAAACAGATGAGAACCACATCTGTTCCTTTATTATACAAAAATGTTTATCTCATCTTGAATTGAATACTGTTTTTTTGACTGAATCATCATTAATCACGATTAATCATTATCGATCCCTTAAACTTAATCAGATCAGAAAAAAATTTGAAAACATAAGACTTTATAATATAAATAAAATAAAAAATATACATTTTTATGGGCTAAGATAAAGCAACTGTTTCCATCCTTACATTGAGAAATACCCAGATGTAGTGTATATACTGGGAGGTAGCCTAAAAATGTCAAAACAAGATTTATAAGCTTTCACCAGGCCTCATATGTGACCTCACATTTCTGTATCAAAAACATGTCTACTGGGGTTTAGAATAAATCAATCACTCTCCTTGGCTAAAAATTAGCCTTTAACAAACCACTAACAAACAAATTCGCAGTTCCTGTGTGTCAGAATATTGAGATTTGGCAGTAATATTCTTGTATTTTTTTGTTATGCAAGGGAAACTCATTAGGGAGGAGATCTAGTTTTTTTGGGCAACAAAGAACAAAGGTAAGCATCCTCCACCCACTCATCATGCTGACCTGGCTGCAGTAATCAAAGCAATGCAAATGGAACGTGTGCTGGTGCTGCAAAGAGAACTCAAAATCACTGGGGAAATCAGAATGTGAAAAATGGAATGGGAATTGGTTTTACGGTATTGGCTCTGCAGCTGCCACCTTACACAGACTGCCACAGAGGGAACCGCACACAGTGGCAGCTGAATGATGAAATATGCATCTTTAAGCATACATTACATTAATGTTTACAACCACATAGGATTTAAACCTTGTACATGTTTGCAAACCATTTATGACATTTTTATGGGATGAAGATCTGGAACTCCCACACTGGCGGAAACGACAGAGGTCAAAGAGTGATCTGTGTCAGTATAATTGAATTTCTCTATGATGAATGAGATATTAAGTGTAAACACCCACAGTGATGACAGTATCATTAAAAGTTAAAACATATTACAGAGCTTATCCAGTAGATCTCAATTACAGATGAGTGGCCATCTGCGTTGTTATGTAAGCACTTCATCAGCTGTTTCCCTTAATTACGGATTCAACTACAAAGCTGGCATGTGAAAATGGAACAATTTTGATAATCCTACTCACTGTAAAACCTCACTGCCGTTTTGTGTTTGTCGAGCAGCTGATCTGAACTCTACAGAGACTCTGTGTGACTGAGCCATACCCACATTCTAAAGCACGGTTGTCAGCAAACTGTTGTCACATGTCAAAACTCCCAACTGCAAATAATTTTAAAGTTAATTTGTGAACATTATTTAATTATTTCTGCTTGGACACACAATAAATTAGTAACTTCTATATCCATTTTTTCCAAAGTTCTGATATCTAAACAGATTAAAATGGGGTTATATTTACAAATATTTAAAAATTGATTTGTGGTGTATAGAAATGATCCACAGTCACACGTAAACATCATTCACTGAGTGACATTTCTATCTGTGCAACCTGCCGTCACACTCACAGCATGTTGTTGGCGTATTAAACACAAGCAGGTGGAGGACACACCACTGAAGCAGAGATGACAGAATGGACAGAAGACAAAGAGGACAAATTAAAGAAAAAAAATGCTGACATTTATGCAACATTCACAGTAAACTATACACTTTTAGAAGCTCAATTACTTAAATGACACTAAATATTATTAAGCAGCAAAATATTATGTTCCTTTGTGTGCCTAAAGTATGTTCTTAATACGATCTACACCAACAATGGTTTAAATGCATTGTTTTTGGGGACACACATGTTCCTAGTAAAAACATTTTGCAGTTCATGCTGAGTCAGAGGATATTTTGAGATTCAAGATATAGTCTAAATTTAGACAAGAGTTAGGGTACAAAATAGGTCTATATTTTTAATACGTATAGTGAGTCTGGGGCTAGGGGATGCATTGTATGTGGTCCTCACGAAACACAAAAACCTGTGTGTATGTATGTGTACAAGATAGAGTGTGTGTCTGTGTGGTCATTTTCTAAGCCAGTGGGCTCTGATGGGGTCATAAAACAACACCTTGTGATGTGATGTGAGATATGCACTACTAACTCAATTTGAGAGCCTGTATAGACTGGAGCAAGTTGGCAGCTCTGGCAGGAGCTTGGCTCTGGCCACTGCCATCGCCTGTGCTGTTGATGTCTGCCTGGTCAGCATTGCTAATGCTGCTCATTATGTCCTGCAGCTGACAACACTTGGACTGTCTGATTAATACATTTGCAGCCTTACAATACGGTAAATCTGTGCCATTTTCTATCATAATTAGACCCCCCAGATAAGTTAATATTATGCACTTTGCAACAGTAGGCAAGAAATATTACATACAACACATTTTCTAGTTTTACCAAACTAGAGCTCTTTTTTTTGCAAATGTCTTTGCAAAGTGAGTAAATATACATTTGACAGGTTCAAATATTACTTTTAAACATGTTTTTGTCCTTTTTGTGTATACAGAAAATCCTCAACATCTTAGCAAAGATGATTTAGGTTTTGTTTTATAACTGTATCTTTACATTGGTGATACGATATACCAAATATTGCACACTGTACCCACTGTTCTACATTCATATACATTTTTATATCATCAATCAAAACTGGATTCTACCATCTCTCTAAGTTGATAAACCTCCACTGGACTAATAACCATAACAAATATTAAAATCATTTTTATTATAATGGATATTATTGTTAATTTATCAGGTATTTCATTCATTATTTAGTTTTCCTTGTAAGGAGAGAGTATAAAATCAAATTAAAATAAAAAAGTGTTGAAATTATTCAAGCTTCGCAACAGGTTTTAATTTACCTTCATCCAATTTGTTTCTTTTCCCTTAATTAAAACAATGTTATAACACTGATCCAAATCCAAATCCCAGTAAAGGATGTCATTTTAGCAAATATAGATCTTCCAAATTTATACTTGAACAACACCCCATCATATAACTAAGCTGAAAATGCATCTGTGCTACATTTACCCACTATAAAACATACAGCAGAGAGACTCGCTGTTTGATGTTGGCTCTAATATACAGGGTCGGGCATGACAAAACAACAGCCTTCTTATCCAACAAACCCCTGTGAGCTTTGCACAGTCACAGTACAGTATTATCCTCAGAATCCACTGAGACAAATATTACGAAGGAATTATATTTGATAGAATAGGGCAGAATATTGAGAATATTACTCTTTTCACCCATAAATTGTTCGAGTATTATATAATACTTTACAAACTGGTGGATATTGGAGCTAACAGATTAGAGGTTAACACTTAATTTAGCTTAAATAGTTGAACCAGACACAGAGTTGGCTTCAGTCTTTTTTTCTATTAGTTGTTTAATTCCTTCTACTTTTTATTGATACAAGTGCATACAAAGCTAAATCCCTTGGTTATTTTTTACATTTTATAGTCTATTATGTTGTGATTCTCAAATTTACACAAGGGTTTTGTCTCATGTTTCAAACATTGTCTCATAGAGTATGGGGGTGGACGACAAAGACGAGACCAAATTAGAACAGGGAAGAGAAAGGGAGGGCATGATGGAGGGGGTTCCCTCTCCTAGAGGGGAAATATAAATAGAGCAGAGATGTGTCACGCCACTGGTTTAACCACAACATGTTTGGATGCTGCTGCTCAGATCAGCTTTTTTGCCATGTTAAACAAACAGTTCTCAATACTCACCATTTGGAAGCTTGTGACTGTTCTCCATCAGCCATGCAAACAAATTGGCAAAAGTGCAGTTGCACACCCAGGGGTTGCCCTCCAGCCTCACTAGTCGCAATGAGGGTAACTGACTCAGTGCTCCCACCTTTAGGCTAGACAGTGCATTTCGCTCCAGTTCTAGTTCCCTCAGTGAGGTGAGTCCCAGGAACGCCTCTTCACTCACCATGCTCAGATATGGGTTGTTACCTAGTCGGAGTTTAATCAGGCTGCGGGACTCTCCAAACATGCCTTTAGGGATTTCAGTTAGATTGTTGCTGCCCAGATCTAGAAACACCAACCGCGAGGAAGTGCTAAGTGTCCCTGGTTCTATGTGAGAAAGTGAGTTGTTCCTCAGGTCCAGGTAGACCAAGTCACTATACAGAACCAGGAAGTCCGATGGGATGCGTGGTATCCAGTTGTCTGCCAGCAAAAGTCTACGCACATCCAGCGGGATCTCATCTGGTAAACGGGTCAGTCCACGTCGGCTGCAGTCCACAGTGTGAGGATCTGGGCACAGACAAGTTGTAGGGCAGTTTTCCCCCCGGGTCCATAAGACAGATGACAATAAGATGAGGATAGGTTGGAGCCAGCAGACACATGGCAACATGGTCAAGGGAATGAAATGAATGAAAGACAGAGGCTTGGGTCAGGGTGAACAAGAGAGTAATGGGGTAGGGAACAAGAGGGTGAGGGTTAGAGGGTAGGAGATTAGGGTAGGGGAAGGGAAGGGGAAAGTAGATAGTGTCAAATGAGGATCAGTCCTTCTAAAGGAGCATCCTGCCTTTGAAGCGGTGAAAAGCAGCTCAGCACTGTGAGTCGTCAGCACAGAGATGAAAACTATCTTCAAGGAGATCATGTGGCAAAGTGCCTGCACAGAATAGCACACTGGATGTTTTGAAAAAGCAGAGCAAGGATTCTAGTGAGCGGTAGGGAGAATGAGAAAAACAGAGCTTAACAGAGAGGGGAGGGTAGCTCAAGAGAGGTAAAGAGAGACGAGCGAGCTGGAAGTGATGTGAAGCAAGAGACACAGAGAAAAGAGCGGGGGATTGAGAAGATGGATCTGTCCGACACGATGCTCTGTAAATAATCTGGCAGCAACAACAGACAAAGACAAAAAGGTTTGTGACATAAAAATGAAGCTGTGACTCAAGCATGATAAGCAGAGAGGAACAGAGTAATATCCATCTGTTCTTTTTGTTTCCTGGTGCAAAAAAGACAAGGACTCACAGGACATCGTTCAACTGTGGCACAGGTTTCTCCTCCTCCTTATTTCCCATTGCCCTGCCACATGCAGAGAAAACATGGCACTGCTCAATGTCACGCTTTCTAGCCTCACATCAAGGTTGTGCAGCTGCGGATGGAGGATCCAGCAGATCAGGAGGGAGTCTCGTGGATGTGGAATGTCGTGCTGAGCTGCACACAGCCATGCCAGTCTACTGCTGTCTCTGGAATCACCACTGTTCTTTTCATGCCCTCTCCCCTCTCCTTATTTCCAGGGAGGCGTGTCTGAGTTACACTATCAACATGTGATGTCACTTCCTATAGTATGTAGGAATAACAGGCAGATTCTGCCTTTACTTGGAGAGAAGACATTATATAAATTGAATATTTATAAGTAAACATACTGGGGTGTGGATCTTAGCCATCAGGGCAAATTCTAAGAGATCATTATTTATTTTTGAGGTCTTAAAATTTGTCTGTATAAAATAAATATGTTTTTAATTGATTGAATTAATTTGATTTAGCAAACACCAGATGACCATTTGAAAATTAATTATCGTGGCTTCATTAATCTTTTCACTAAATTATTTTAACAACCCAAATATCACGGATAGTAAACAGCTCTGCGTCGCACACCATAGGACAAATGATTCAGTGTGATGAGTTTAAAGCTGAAATGAGATTTGCTCCAACAAATAAATGAAATTGGACTAGAGCTGCAGCAGGAAGGGCGAGGAGGATTTCTTTTGGTTAAAGGCTGCAAGAAATGTCAATACACAAGTGTTGTTCTGAATAGTTAAGTATAGATGTGGGAGAGGGTGATATATTCTCAATGCAAACCTAATAAATTAATAATTTTACTGACTGAAACAGTATGTTAATTAAATAACAATATATGTAACCAGGTAATAGGGAACGAGATCCGACTCACTTCATCACACTTAATCTAATAATACCACTCCTTACTGAAGGCACTGACTAAAGTCAGATGAGTCAGTGGCATCGACACTGACAAAGAGCTTGTGCCAAAGGGAACACAGAAGCAATTCTGTGGTGAAAAAAAAAAGAGGAATGTAATCACAATCAGCATAAATGCAATTAAAAATCTAACCCTAACCCAACTTTGGTGGTTCAGTGAAAACATTTAAATTTGAATAAATTGATTTCATTATTGTTTGTGTTTTTACACAGCTACCAGAAAACCATGATCGTCTTGCAGGACCACCGACTGCTTTGCCATTATGTGACCCAGCAGCTAATATTTAATCCTTCATTTATTTATATTGGTTTTACTGTTTCAATACAAGTAGTTTGGTGTATCATTTTTGTCAAAATCTGTAAACAAGCTACCTGAGAAACCCTTGAGTATTCTTCTTTTTTCTTTAATTTCAGAAATACCATCTTCTTACACAGAGCTCAGAAACCTATTGCTTTCTGTCCACATGTAGACACCAATCAGTTTTATATGGCCCAACACTAGATATTAAGTAACAGTGAAACCTGCCCTGTAGCTCTTTCTTGTAACATACACTGTGTGGTCACAGCTTTGACTGCCAGTAGTGTAACCAAAGGATTCACCAGACAGTTTACTAACAGACATGACCCGACTTACTCTGCCTTTGACTGACTAAATAAAGTAGGTCAGGTTAAACAATCAGCAGCAACGTAAACACCACAACTTAATCTGTTTAGGGTCATGGATGGAGCTGAAGCTGATCCAGACTATCATAAGACGAAAGACACCGTGGACAATTGGTAAGTCCATAGCAGGGACAAATGTATGTAGAGACAAACTACAGCATTCACATTCAAACTCTACCGTATTACTGTTAGATTTGATTGTCTAGTTGACCTAATCACCAATCAGTATGTTGCGGATTAGGAAACGCAATAAAGAAAGTAAATCAGGAAAGAATCAGTGATCACACCATGATCTTCTGGTTCTGAAGGTAAGAGTAACCAACCACTTTTCCACAGCTTAAGATACTGTAAATAGTTCAGAGATTAGACTCACCATAAATTGATACATAAAAAAAGAATGTGGCTGATACCAGCTCAGATTAACTGTAACACAATGTGACTAGTAGTCAACAGATTTCTACGCAAAACTATCTAAAGCTATGCTAAGCTATCTATTTCTTACAAAAGCATAATATAAATTTGTTGAATCAGGTCAGCGTCTTCTTACTCAGACTCTGAAGACACAGACGATTTTGGCCTTCTTTTTATTAATGCCTTTTTACTTACACAATGAAAATAATAATAATAATAATAAAAATAAACCTTTCCAACTGGTTACACTTTGTTTGTCGCCACCAACAGAAGTCACAAGTGGTGTAGTTAGTAAATGTGGGCCCTCAGTAGGAGGGCAACCCCCATGGATCAGCCAGTGGGACAGCAGAAAAGCTAAGCACTCTCCTGCTGCAATTAAAGAATTCACCATCAATAAATGATGAATGTCAAACACAGTGTGATGGTTGGCCTGGTAAGTATCCAATGTAGATTCATGGTCGCAGCAGGGTAGTAAACAAGGTGTGCCATGGTGGAAACACAAAGAGAGGAAACAGGGGGATGTTAACAGAACCCAACTGCAAATGTCACCTCTTTCCTTTTAACACTTCTTGGAATGACACTGCGGACATTTAAGGTGCTGCAGCAGCTGTCGCTTCATAAGCTATTTGATGACATTTTGGATTCTGGGCAGGCTGCCCTGCTTTACTACAGGAAGTGGGCTAAAGGACATGGGTGTTCCTTGTCAGCCAAGGGCATGGCCAGAGACAGAGGCTTGGGATGACCACAGGCACCATAGTCACACCAACGAGTGTTAATGAAACTCAAATCATTGTTTTCTAGACCGTAAAAAAGACCTGGTGTAATTATCTTACTTGAAAGGATGGTGGTAGCAGTTATGTTTGTACCAAATGGTACAAAGAACTAAGCTCACTAGGTGTAACGGAATTCCAGTTTCTTCAGTAATCTGCTGACAGGACACTTTGACATAATATTGTATGGCATTTGTAACTTTGGGGTTACAAATGTCAACTCATGATCAATACCCCCTTTATGTCTCTTAGTGGGCTTTAATACAGCTTATGCAGTAGTTGTGTTCATAAGGAAAGGTTAATAGATCTGTCATTGGATTGAACCAGGAGGAGAAATAGAAGATTTCATACCTAACTTCTTTCTTGCTGTTGTCTTTCTTTGAATTTTACTACTTTATCTAAATCATTAAAGTCAATAGTTGTCAATAGTCAGTAGTAGTCATGAGGAAAGGCCTACACCCTGAGCAGTTTTCTAGTCAATGAGAAGGCCACACACAAGGACAAGTTAAAAAAAAATAAGTATTCACTTTCACAAATGCTCAAATTAGAGTGAACTTGGACTGCACAGAAAAACACATATGGCAAGAGCATATACAAAGGCCAGAAACCAAACTAGCGTACGATCTTCTTCTTACTGTAAGGCTAGCACTAATGACAGCTGCCATTGTGTGGCCTGCCATTTTATTTTTTTCATTGCTATTTGTTCACTTTCTATTTCAACATTTTCCAAAAACGTCAATCTCGTTATCACTCGAATCTTAGTCTTAATTCTTCTGATAACTACTGAATAGATTATCAGTGCAGGTATAAAGTAAAACAGCATTAAAGGAAAATCAAATACTGCTTGGTTTGGTGCCTGGCCATCAAAACTCCATGTAAATCAATGTAGTATTTTCATTGTTTCCACAGGCCCATGGCACTTATCACAGACTAATCAACACCTACCTGTCCCAAGCTAAATAAATTGTGAGGATTACTTGCTGTTGTGACCCCACAAAGGAAATTATTCTTCATTCAAAGTCAATAAATATAAAACTCTCATTACCACGTACGTTACCAGTGGCTAAAATGATAAATGCTCCATTTGTTAAGAAGGAGGTGATCATTAAGGTCAGTGAGTTTTCCCATCCCATGTGTGTGTTTTAATCTTATTATGAGTGAAGGTTACATCTGGTTCACGTTGTCACGTTTATACTGGGGCAACGTAGTAAATGACGATCTCATTCACTCAAGAGATTATTGCCTTCTGATGCTGTAATATTTTAGACTTGAAGTGACATGATCTAATTCCCTCTCAGGGAGGCCATTAGGCTTTAGTTCATACTTTACCACTCCATATGAGAGAAATCCATCAGCTTGTGTCATACAGCTTCCTTACGCCTAATGGATTTTAAAAAATTATCAGTAGAAGGAAAGAGCAGCAGATGAAAACTGTTTACTAAAGTCTTGCCTCTGGTTTATGTCCTCTGGTTTATGTATATGTATATATATATATATATATATATATATATATATATATATATATATATATATATATATATATATATATATATATATATATATATATATATATATATATATATATATATATATATATATATATATATATATATATATATATATATACACGTCTCAAAATATTTATATACACTAATTAACCTCCTGTGTCATAAATCTACACTAATTTGACAGTTTACAGCTTTAACATGTTATATCTGTTGCCACCATTGTGTCGAAAAGGTTTTAGTAAATGAGAGCAAAGCGTTTCTCTCACAGGTGCTGTGTAGAAGGAGGTGTTAATGAGGTTATGTGTTCCTCTCATGTCTAAATTTGTCCAGCTTTATCACCACACTGCTTTAGTTACCATCTATGCAGAGTCATTGGCTGAGGACGTTCATTTGGTGCCATGTCATCTTGAAGAATGAACGGTTTTACTTCAAGATATCTGGGTAAATATACAGTGCAATTAGAGGTTAGGTGTACCGCTTTATATGTGACATATCAAATGTATCGAATTTGTTAGGTCTTATTTTATTTATTTGACATCAGGGCCAGCTATCCACATCAGAACTTGTGCTTGTCAAACTAGTCACAGTATACCAAACACTGTATAATTCTGCCCCTACACTAAAGGGGTCCATAATGGAAATAATTGAAAAGAAGAGAAACAGCAGCTTCAATAATGTTTGGGAAATACGACTGTGGAGTTCAATGAAAAAAGAATCTGGTCTGTTTTATGTATTTTTTTCTGGTCATGCATGAGTATGATGTAAAGCAGCATAGACTATGTGGTTTAATGGTTCCCAAGTTGAGGGGTGGGTGGGACACAGAGCAAATGGAGAGGGAAAGGGTTGTGGAAGTAATTCTGTTGATTTGTGAATTACTTGTCTTTGTTGATTAACCACAGCGGTCTAGTTGGAATTACAGTTCACTGGGAATTTGAGCAGTAGTTGTAATTGGGCATACGTGAAGCTGTTTGACAATAGGCTATTCTACAAATAGGGGGTGCTGCAGAAAAGGTTTTTGAAACCAGAGTAGTAAGCATTTCCTATTTTTTATCTCAACTTATTTTATTTATTTTAATGG